TAGCCTCCAACTAATAAAAATAAATGAAAAGAAAAAAAAAGAAAATAAATAAAATAATTCAAAAAAATTAATAATAATGGCAGGTCTTTTGTTTTTGTGCTTTTGGCTGTGCCATGCAGCTTGTGGAGCCTTACTTCCCCTACCAGGGATTGAACCATCGCCCTTGGCAGTGAAAGCACAGAGTTCCAACCAGTGGACCAGCAGAGAATTCCCAGTAATGGAAAGTGGAGGTCTGTGCCTGCCCCTCAGATGTACATCTGATAATGAGGGACGAGAGTCTATGGGAGGTGCTGGTGATGGTACAGATATACCAAGTGTCTTTACATCACTCTGAGATCCATCCAACCAGAGCACAGAGATGCAGAAATGAGTAAGATCAGCTCATCTCTCTAGAAAAAAAGACAATGGAGGAATTGCTTTTAGAATGATTGCCAGTGGTTCAGGAGTTAAGACTCTGTGCTTCCAATACAGGGGGTCCAGGTTCTCTCCCCGGTCAGGAACTAAGATCCTACATGCCACGGAGTGTGGCAAAAATAAAGGATGGTTACTGCGCCTCGCCTACAGGGATAGAGCGTGGTAAAGCTCTGTCTAGCTCAGTGTTTGAATGTTGTTCTGATGCAGGTGGGTAGAGACCAGTGGGCCGGTGAAGGCTTTGTGGTGTGATCACCAGACGGAAGCAGGAAAATACAAAGTCTGGTAGGATCAAGTCAGCTGGAAACGGGTCCCAAGCTGGGATGTAGTTTAGTGCTCCCTTTCCAAATAAACACACCCCCTTGAGCCTCCTTGAACAGTCCTGAGAGAAGCAAAATTTCAGCCCCAGTCAAGGTTATTGTGAATCTCTGAGCTGCAACAGACAAATGGGATTAAAAATCCAGGTCATAGGAAACCACAGCCCGGTCTGGGAGCTGTGCCTTCGTGTAATTCTACTGATTGAGCAGTGATATCCGAGATGTGTGTGAGTTGGGGAGTGTTGGAAGAAACATTAAACCCAGGGGTCAGCCTGAAAGAGAAGCTATCCCCAGCGGAAGCCTCGGTCAAAGCCAACTGGCATTGGATGTCACAGAGGAGGACCGACGTGAGGGACAACGGTAGGATACAGAGCAGCAGGCAAGAAGAGCATGAGGCTTCGTGTGCTGGAACAAGCAGAAGGTGGGAGAAGGGTTCATCTGGACAAACCGTGGGTGGGGAGAAGGTTATTTGTCGTGGTTACTGACATGTCTGAAGCTCACCAGCCTGGGAGCAAATGAGGTCGTGTTAATATTAATGCCCAGCATGGGGTCCCAGTGGCCCCGCCTGTTCTCACAGGACCTCAGCCAGCATCCTCAGGGTCCCCCCCTGGGGAGGATGTCACATCCTCAGCTGCATCAGGATGAGCATCCTGAGGATGCTAAGGTGCACCAGGGCCCCGGTTCTTCCTCCATTTGTGATGTCACTCCTCACTTCCCTCCGCTTTGCTGTCCCCTGGCTGCCAGGGTGGTCCCAGGGCCCTACCTTGCCCCTTTCTGCTGTGCCCCCTCCCTGCAGCGTCTCTGTATAGCTTAGGGCTACAGCTGTACTTGCTTCTCAGAGTGTGGTCCAGGGGCCAGCAGCATTGCATCACCTGGGGACCTTGTTAGAGCTGCAGAATCTCAGCCCCACCCTCCACCTGGACTGACTGTATTAGGATTGCATTTTAACATGGCCCTGGTGGTGTCACAATTAGCATTTGAGAAGCCCTGCCAAATGGGAGCCGCTGGTTTTAACACTTTAGCAGGATGCTCGAAGGAAGCAGGTCAGTGACAACAGGGAAAAGTTCATACTTCAGTCCTGGGTCTTTTTTGTCCTGGGATGACCTGAGATGTCTGAGGGGAGAGGAGAATACCTTCTGGCTTGCATAAACAGGAGGATTCTTCAGACAAAATAAAACTAGCAGAGAAGAAAGTGGGAACTGTGACATGATGATGAAATGGGACCAGATCAGGGTGAGCCAGAAAACTGAGGGGGGGTGGATGAGAGATATTGAGGGGGGTCAGAGATGAGCTTTGAAAATGAGGGATGACACGTATGCTGGTTCACTTTAGAATCCCCTTGTAAACAACAGAGGTACCGCATAAAATGCATCACAATTTTCAAGGTAGCTGGGACAGTAAATGTCATCATTAAATCAGCAAGTACCTTGGGAAAAATATATCAGGCATCTGTTCTAACAAGGACTGGCAAACATCCCTCACCCAGAGACCCTAGAGAGCTTTTATGCCAACATGCTGGGAAGCACTTGGAACTGGCACAAGAAGGTTAGCAGATAAGAGAGAACCCCAAACCTGGGACATTTCTGAGATGAGAGCAGGAGAAAGCCTTTCTAATTACTCTGTTCCTGATGTCCTGTTGGTAATAAAAATTAATTAGCGATGACATTAGAGTGTCATCGGTGATGACAGACAGTAAATAGTAGCATTTTATTTTACTACCTTACCCTTGTTAGTTTTCCCGGCTTTGATCAATACAGACATTGCCCAGGCTTCCTAGTTACAAAACAGTAACTAGGCTTAGTAAAAGGCTGCGTTCCAATTTTTTATTCGTTTAGGAAACCCTCCTTGGGATGTTTGCATAATCAAATGTAAGTTCGCAAATGTTTCTCCTGCCTCAGATTTGCATATGAGCAAAATGAGTTTGTTCCCAAACAGCCCCTGGAAAAATCCCAGGACAAATGATTATTCAGTGAAAAGGAAAATGATTTCAGCCAATTCTGCTCCATCTCCCATAGACGAATGGAAGTGAATCGTCTCTTAGCACTGCCTACTGAGGCCACCAGTAATCAGTCTGTTGACACCATCAAGGAATAAGAGGTTGATAAAGGTAAAGAATTTCAAGTGGAGCTTCCCTGTTAGGAAGGAAGATTCCCTGTCATTTGATGCATTGCATGGACTTTTTTGTTGCATTGCTTATTAACCAGATGTTTTAAAACACCAATTTCCATTTCTTTTAATACTCAGAATTTTTAAATGGTTAAAGAGTGATCATTTATTATTTATGTCCTATAGCAATTTGGGTATGATTCTCCTATTTCTTTTTCTAGTGTGTTATTATAGGAGCCAAGGCGAGAATTCCAAAGTGGATGCTGACCTTAGGTATAGTTTTTCTTTGTGGTGTAATTTAGACCTATGGGTTATGGTTAAAAATGACTAGGAAGGGACTTCCCTGGTGATCCAGTGGTTAAGACTCAGTGCTTCCAAGGCAGGGGGCTTGGGTTCAATCCTTTGTTGGGGAACTAAGATCCCACATGCCTCAGAAGCAGAGCCAAAAATAAATAAAGACAGATGAACCACATTTTTTTAATGACTAGGAAATGGTACACTCCTTTTGTTCTCATGAAAGAATATAAGTAAAAGATTCATGTTAGCAGTATATTTTCTTTCTTTCTTTCTTTTTTGTTTTCTTGACCCTAAACTTGATGATTAGCAGCCTGGATAAAATAATGATAAATGATTGGATAGGAAACTGGGTTCATGTGACTTCCGGTCATTTTGGTAGCCCTTTCAGTGTCAAAAGGTGTAGAGCTGATCCTTAGGGAACGAGGTTACATTAATTCGTCTGAGTTGTGGCAGCAGCGAGGAGGCACAGTTGCTTGGAGCCAAACCCATCAGAGGTAATAACAGCAAAATGCTTTTGCAGTTACTGAGTTTATTGGCCCAGACCAGTCAGAGAATCCTAGGATCAGTGAGCAGGAAGTTTGTCTGCCCACAGGAGCCGGATGCTTAGATCTGCCCGGATGCTTCTCTTAATATCCTGTCCCTACTGGTTTTCTGTTTCAGTCGCTACTTAAATGACAAATTCTCCCTGCTGAGTCACATTTAGCATCACGTCCTCTTTGCCCTTGACATGTATATGGACATGTATATGGACTGGGAGGAAAGCGGAGGTTATGAGCCTTGTTCTGTTGGAGAGGGGAGAAAACATCCCCAGTTGAGTGCCCACTCTATGCCAAACAGCATGCAGAAGTGAGGTGCCAGCGTTAGCCCACGTGGAACCCGAGGCTCAGAGAGGTCACAGTGTTCCCAAGGTCACACAGCTGCTCAGAGTCTGGTGGGACCAGGATTTAAATGAGGGCTTCTGACCCCATGTTCACATTCTTTGTGCAACTTGGAAAGGAAGCTTCACAAAACTCTGAGGAAATACACTCCTCTTCCCTCCCTGTATCATCTGTCCTTGGCAAACGCTACCTTGTCACATTTCCTGGTAGTCAGTGGATGTCTGTGACCATGTTTTCTTTCATCTCACTTGTTTCATCTAGTTAAGGTCTGTTGTGGGGTGTCTGCCAGTGTGGAAACTAGTAACGCTCAATTATTTGCAAGGAGAGCCGGAAGCCTGAGACCTGATATGTGTGCTGAAGTTAGTACTGGAAATGGGTTTCCCCAATCTCACATGCTTATTATATATCCTGGGACAGAGGGAGGGAGTTTGTGTAATCCATGGTCTCTGCTTTTGCTAAGGTTGAGTTTAGTTGAGAGGGGGAATATTTACGCCTTTGAAGATGAAGTAACAGTGAGCTGAGGTGTGCAGAAGGAAGTGTCTCAAGCATTCATGTGAAACATTGTTTTAATGAATGAACAGAGCTTCAGAAGAGGGAGCTGTGACTGCGAACTTGTGAGGTCAGGGAGGGTTTGGTGGTGGATGCAGGTCTTAGGTCTTACGTGATGATGAGGCTTGGATGGGTAGGAGGAGTGAGGATGCCATCTCAGAGAGACAGCAGTGAACCATCCTGAAGCGAGACCTTAGTTCCCTGCCCAAGACCTGAACCTGGGTAGCCTGGATGAACAGCCGGAATCCTAGCCGGCTAGTCCACCGGGGGCAAAAGGCTAGAAATAAAGTTCCCCTCGCGCTTGCTGTGTTTGAAATAGGAATTTCTCAAAGAGGCAAAAACTGTAAAAACAGGTACAAAGCTTATAACAGTATAGCACACAGAGAAACATTGTGTTTGTTTAAGACAAGCAAGGCAGAAATACAACCCGGAGAGAAGGGGTATGGGCGCCCTCCCCAATGAGGAAGAATGCGGTAAAGAGGCCATTAAATCATATATATAAGGCAGTTCTGCTGGGTCTTTGTTTACCTTTGGCCAGTGATTTCATTTCTTTTCCTGTTCTGGGACCCACCCTTCCAGCGCCCCCCACCCCCTGCCCAATATGTACATGCAGCTTTTTTGCCAAGATGGATTCCAGCGCAGAGGCCAGTGGGAGGTTTGACAACACTTATTATGGGATGGCACGCCCTCGTTTTTGACCCCTGAGGAGCCTTCCTGTGCATGTGCAGTTGGGGAGTTTTCTCTGACCTCATGAGCAGACCTCTTATCTCTTTACTACAGCAGAGCTCAGCTCCTGCCATTAACTTTGTCCTTGGAGCATCTGGGGAAAACAAAGCTTCAATTTTACTCCATTTGACAAACTCCAGCTGCTCTGCCCAGGGGCCCATCTATCTTCTACCTCAGGTAGAGTGGGGTTGGGATGGGTGAGGTGCCACTGGACGAGCGAGCACCTTCCATGTCAAGCTGAAAAGTTTGGGTTTGACCCTCAGAGATGATAATAAGGAGCTCCAGTTCTGCTGCATGCATGGGCTTGATGGGTGCTGGGAAAAACCCTATAAACATTTGTCTTGGGGGTGTTTGAGGCGAAAGCAGCAGTAGTGTCAAGCTGAGGTCAGTTTATGTTGCCGTAGGAAATTAACAGAAAAATGATGCCACAAGGGCATCCTTTCCTGTGCCCTTCCTGGAAACTGCCAACTGGTGGCTGAGGACTGGGAATGAGGATGCTTAATTTTTACTATGCCTACTTTGATTAGCTATTGTTAGTGTAGAGACAGAGTAGGGGTTATTATCCAAGATCGTGCTAGGTTGAGCCATATGAAATTTCCCTTTTAAGGTAATTGGCAGTTGTTGTTCAGTCGCTAAGTCCTGTCCGACTCTTCGTGGCCTCATGGACTGCAGCATGCCAGGCTTCCCTGTCCTACACTATCTCCCAGAGTTTGCTTGAACTCGTGTCCATTGAGTCAGTGATGCCATCCAACCATCCTCTGAGATGTAATTGGTAGAACTGCTAGCAATTTCATACGGTTCTACTTAATTGATTTTGTCAGTTGTTGTTGGAGATGCGTGGACATGGTCAGGTTATCTGGGTAGGTCCTGGATAGTGCTGCTTAGAGTCAGCCCCGGAGTCCTCAGGGCACTATTTCCCTTGGCTGATGGAGCTGTTCCTGGAGATTGAACCCAGGGTCCCAGAGATGTGCTAGGCTGTTCCTCTCCAGGCTGTTTGCTCTTCTTGCCTATGGACCAGGCATTCAGAGTCTCCTGATTTTTTCTCTTCCCTTTAAAGAAAAAAAATCTGCCCTGGGCTAAGATATTTAAAGGAGGAAGGAGGGCTTGTGGAAGAGAAGGTAAAAGTAATTGCATCTTGAGGTTGTGTTTCCCGGGACTCCCCAGTAGCATGATACAGACAAAACCAGAAGTGCTGCCTTCGTAGCTCCTAGTTATGTTGGGGAGAAGGGGTGCCAAGTTATCACTCTGGCTCTAGATCACAGAGGTTTTAAGGGGGTTTGAGAACAGCTGGGCAGTGGGCTGCGCATGCGTGATGGTGGTGTGGCAGAGACTGAGCTGCGCTATCGCCACATCTTTTGTGCCCGCGCCCTGGGATGGGGGCCACGCCCATGGAGCATTTCCTGGATTCAGGGATGGAGTGAGCCCGGAGTGCTGTCCTAACCACCAAGAATGAAGACAGGTTCTGAGTTAGGGTCTGCTGGAAGCAGCTGGGGCACAGCCATCCTAGGGCATGGCCACCTCTCCCCCATCCCGACTCTGGGTACCACAGGCCAAGTCATCTACCACTATACCCGGACTCTGAAATCTCACTATCTGGGACCCTGAGTTCTCATCATGACTTGCCTCTGTCATCCTCAGTCACCACTGAACATGTGGCCCAGAGTGATTTTCTTGCTCCAAGAGTACTGTTGTATGTCTTCTGCGATGAGGTCTTCCTGGACTTCCACTGGCCCCCTCCTGAACCCCCTTCCTTCCATGCTAAGCTCTCCTGCATCCCTCATGTATTCACAGAATGCTCCCTGTCCTCCTGGTTCTGCCCTGAACCTTTCCTGGAATTGTTTAGGCACTCAGTCCCTTCCAACTCTTTTGGATCTCTATGGACTCCAGCCTGCCAGGCTCCTCTGTCCATGGGATTTTCCAGGCAAGATACTGGAGTGGGTAGCCATTTCCTTCTCCAGGGATCTTCCTGACCCAAGGATCGAACCCATATCTCCTGCTTGGCAGGTGGATTCTTTACCACCTGAGCCACAGACATGTTTTCCCTTTCCTTAGCCTGACAAATGTATTGAGGGTCCCATTCTGTAAGAAGCACCATAAGGAAAACAAATGAAAAGACTTAGTCCCTCTGTGTACGGGCATTTGAGGGTCACCTTTCTTGGCATCCTTTCTGTTTCCTGAGGAAATGGGAACTAGTATGACTCCTGGAGACCTCTCCTCTTGCTCTCTCAGCATCAACCTTCTCAGCTGAAAATGGAGGCAAATCAGAGAGATTATGAGAAGAAAGGAATGACAGATGTCCATAAATAAATAGTTTAACTGTAAACGTGACTGGTAAGCTTATAAATTCATGGCATGTGGGAAGAATCAGTAGGGCCACACTTGTCATCTAATTAGACACCTGTGTCTAGATGGAAATCGTCTCAGAACAGATTGTATGTTATAATTAAAAACAAAAAAAAAAAAAAAAATTCTGTGTCAATATGCTGGGCCAAATTGCCCATCCTGGCAAAACTGGAGTGTCTGCTACAATTCAGGTGTGCTTAAAAATAATCATTTAAAACTTCTTAAAGGAAGCCTAAATGGCAGGTTCCTGCATGTAGGATATGACATAGGGATCCTGTGGGGCAGCTTTAATAATTTGCAGCCCATCCTTGGGTTTTAACTGATTTCCATAAGCTATCATTTTTCTGTTTCCTTTTCTACCCTGGGAAGAAATGAAAATTAAACCACTTTAGTCTCAAGTACAGTTATACCCTAGAGCTGTTGTGAGTTCAATTCCTGAGCATTGCAATAAAGTGACTATCCCAATGTTTTTGATTTTGCAGTGCATATAAAAGTCATGTTTATACTCCACTATAGTCTACTAAGTGTGCCATAGCATTATGTCTTAAAAAAACATTGACTTCCCTGGTGGCCAGTGGTTAAGACTCCGTGTTCCCAATGCAGGAGCCCGGGTTCGATCCCTGGTCAGGGAACTAGATCCTACATGTCACAGCTAAGACCTGGAGCAGGAGCCTATTATAGAGAGGGAAGTAAGTCCGAAAGAGAAACACCCATACAGTATATTAACACATACATATGACATTTAGAAAGATGGTAACACAACGATCCTATATGCAAGATAGCAAAAGAGACACAGATGTAAAGAACAGACTTTTGGACTGTGTGGGAGAAGGGGAGGGTGGGATGATTTGAGAGAATAGCACTGAAACATGTATATTACCTTATGTAAGATAGATGACCAGTGCAAGTTTGATGCATGAAGCAGGGCACTCAAAGCCATTGCTCTGGGACAACCCAGAGGGATGGGGTGGGGAGGGAGGGGGAAGGGGGGGTCAGGATGGGGAGACACGTGCGCACCCATGGCTGATTCACGTTGATGTATGGCAAAAACCACCACAATATTGTAAAGTAATTATCCTCCAATTAAACTGATTAATTAAAAAAATAAATGTGTTCAGTTCAAGGAAAGAAAAAAAAAAAAGACCTGGAGCAGCCAAAAAAAAGGTACTTACCCTAATTTTAAAATACCTTACTAGTAAAGAAGGAAAGCTAACTATCATCTGAGCCTTCAGTGAGCCATAGGAGTAACATCTAAGATCCCTGGTCACAGATCACCATCACAAATATAACAATATTGACCAAATTTGAAATATTGTGTGAGTTACCAAAATAGGACACAGAGACATGAAGTGAGCAAATGCCATTTGATAAAATGATGTCCATAGACTTGCTAGACCTGGGGTTGCCACAAACCTTCAATCAATAAAAAATGTAAAAAATAAAAATAAAAAAATAAAAAATGTAATATCTTCAAAGGTAAGAAAGTGGAGCACAATAAAATGAGGTATAGCTGGGTATGTCTGGCCAGGAAATACAGAGTCTTGTTTTATTCATTTATTCAGTTTATCAGGAAACATGAGAATGAGCACATTCTCATTTTTAAAGCTCTGAAGAATAAAATGACTTCGGTTTCCTTGTTTCCTTTTTTTGATAATGAGAGAAAAACACATTTGGAGAAGACCACCGTGTCATTTCGGCCCATGAGGTCCTTTGCTACCAGAATGAAATGATCATACAAAAGAGATATTAAGATCACAGGGACCGTATTAATAACTGGCAATCACTGTGCCCTTACTATGTGTCAAGCTCAAGTGAATCATAATCAGTTTCTCATTTACTCTCCCCAAAAGTCCTGGGAGGAAGGTGTTATCATTCTCACTTCAAACATGAAAAAAAAAAAAAAAAACAACAACCACCAGATTGTGAGTAATTTAAAAAAAAAAAAAAAGACAACAACCACCAGATTGTGAGTAATTTGTCCAAGTTCACACATAGGGTCAGTGGCCACTCCAGGGTTCAAATCCAGATTTGTCCCAAATTCTGTGCTCATAACCTCTTCACATCTTGCTCACCCTGAAAGTCAAGCTGAGAAAACTGTTCTTGGCGAAGAGGTGGATAAGATTTGAATTCTTTAGAGGTAAGGGGAAATCTAGAAGGGAATAGATACATATGTATGTGTGTGTGACTGGGTCACTCTGCTGTACACCCTGAAACTAACACAACATTGTGGATTAACTGTACTTCACTTATTTTTTAAATGGAAAAAAACAATCTTTTGTGACTTAGCAGGAAAAAACAAACAAAAAAAAAAGATTTGGGTTCTTTAAGGTTCCAGAAAGTTCTGATCTCTTGTTGGTATTTCCTGGGCAGCAAATTTTGGACCTTTTATTTCAGTTGTAGATTTTTGAAAGTCAGGTCACTTTAGGATAGTGGGAGCTGCCTTCAGGGTCAGGCCTTGCCTAGAAAGGGCTCCCAAGGTGTGGTCCATCCTGGTACCCAGGAGACTTGGGGGGCACCTCAGGCCCAGGGAAGACTCCATACTGCATTCCTGGCTGCTCTTGGAGGAGACTGGGCAGGAGACCTTACATGTAACGGCTCCATTGTTTCAAGCAGATCCTCAACATGCACACTTCTAACCTGTGACAGCATCAGTCATCTTCAGTAAAGACTTTTTTCTTTGTTCGTTTGTTTAGTCGCTAAGTTGTGGCCAGCCCTTTTGCAACCACATTGGACTGTAGCCCTCCAGGCTCTTCTGTCCATGGGATTTCCTAGGCAGGAATACCGGAGTCGGTTGCCATTTCCTCCTCCAGGGGATCTTCCTGACCCAGGAATGAAACCCAGGTCTCCTGCATTGCAGGCAGGTTCTTTGCCGACTGAGCTGGTCAAAGGGCTCTTTGAACCCACTGAACTAATAGTGTGTTGTCCTTTCCCCCCCGCAGGACATCGAGGTCTCTGTGAACATTCTCTAAAATGTTTAAGCTCGAGAATCACGGAGCGGAAGCTGCAGGGCACCTGGCTGCCTGCTGGCCGAGGGAGCCTGGAGAAACCATCCCTGGGTTCATGCAGCTCTGCGGTGCCTGCGTTCAGCTCCCAGAGTGGCCTTCACCCCGTCCACGCTGAGAACAGCCAGCTGAAGCCCAGGGTCGTGACCGTGGTCAAGGTGGGCGGCCACCCCCTCCGCAAGATCACCCTGCTCCTCAACAGGCGGTCCGTGCAGACCTTTGAGCAGCTCTTGGCCGACGTCTCAGAGGCCCTGGGCTTTCCCAGGTGGAAGAGTGACCGCGTGAGGAAGCTGTTCAACCTCAAAGGCCGGGAAATCAGGAGCGTGTCTGATTTCTTCAGGGAAGGAGATGCTTTCATAGCGGTGGGCAAAGAGCCACTGACGCTGAAGAACATCCAGGTGGCTATGGAGGAACTCTACCCCAGCAAAGCCTGGGCCCTGACCTTGACCCAGCAGCACAGCCGGATCCCCTCTCCAAGGCTGAGAAGCAGACTTCACAGCAAGGCTGTGAAAGGGAGTCCCCCCGGTGGGGAGACTGAGACCACCAAGAGTAGCGGCGAGGCTGCCAGGTCCCCGGCGGCCATCAGACCCCAGGGGCAGACCCCCGGGGAGGACAGGGCCAGGACCCCGAAGAAGTGGGGCAGGGGGAAGTGGGAGCCCGAATCTGGCAGCAAGGCGCCCAAGGATGCCGCCCTGGAGAGGCGTGCCAGTGGGGAGAAGCACCTGGCAGTGGAGATCGAAAAGACGTCGGGGGAACTGATCAGGTGTGAAAAGTGTAAGCGGGAGAGAGAGCTCCAGAGAGAGCAGGGCCTGCAGAGGGAGCGACTGTCGCTGGGCACCAGTGAGCTGGACCTGGGCAGGTGCCCCCGCTACGACGTGGAGAGGCTGGTGAGGACCAGGAGCTGCCGGAGGTCCCCGGAGGAGAAGCCCCAGGGTGGGGAGGAAGGCTGGAAGGAGGGTCCCCGGAGCAGTCCTGGGCACCCCCCGCAGGAACCGAGGAGACCCAGCAAAAGCGTCGACAAGAAAGAGGACAGAGACCCCGGAGGCCAGGAGGGTCACCCCCCTGCTGCAGCTAAGGCCAAGAGGGACGTTTTCGTTGGGGAAGCGCAGCCCCGCCGAGAGGAGAAAGGTGGCAGGAGCGCAGGCAGGAGCAAGCCCGGAGGCTGGCTCCGGAGGGAGCATCACGCCGACCTGGATCCGGAGAAGCTCCGCCGTACCCGAGGGGACGAGCAGGAGGCGGAGACGGAGAAGAAGCCCGGGGTGTCCGGAGCGAGGAGGATGATGGTTCCCCGCGATGAGCCGCCAGCCAGAATCGAAAAGGAGCCCAAGACCAGGCCGGAAGAGAGCAAGGCGGAGCGGCCGGGCCGGAGGCGGCGGCCCGCGGGCATCCTGGCGGCCGACGTGCGGAAGCACTACGAGCCGGGCCGGGTGATCGGCGACGGGAACTTCGCGGTGGTGAAGGAGTGCAGGCACCGCGGCACCCGGCAGGCCTACGCCATGAAGATCATCGACAAGGCCAAGCTCAAGGGGAAGGAGGACATGGTGGACAGCGAGATCCTCATCATCCAGAGCCTCTCTCACCCCAACATCGTGAAACTGCACGAAGTGTACGAGACGGACGCCGAGATCTACCTGATCATGGAGTACGTGCAGGGAGGGGACCTGTTCGACGCCATCATCGAAAGCGTGAAGTTCCCCGAGCGCGAGGCCGCCCTCATGCTCACGGACTTGTGCAAGGCGCTGGTGCACCTGCATGACAAGAGGATCGTCCACCGGGACCTCAAGCCGGAGAATCTGCTGGTGAGCCCTGCCCTGGTGGGAGAGGGCAGTTAGGGAAGACACAGGGGACAGGGTCCTTCCTCCTGGTCCAGGGGTTAAGAGTTGGTGCTTCCAGTGCAGGGGGTGCCAGGTGCTATCCCTGGTCTGGGCACTAAGATCCCACATGCCCCAAGGTGCAGGCAAAAATTATTTTTTAATAAAAAAAAATGAGATACAAAACGTAGGAATGGTCACCTATTCTGTTACCCTTGCGCTGTAAAACATTGCTGTGCTTGCGGAACTTAGTCATTCAGTCGTGTCTGACTCTTTGCGACCCTGTGGACTGTAGCCCACCAGGCTCCTCTGTCCGTGGGGATTCTACAGGCAAGAATACTGGAGTGGGCTGCCAAGCCCTTCTCCAGGGGATCTTTCCAACCCAGAAATCAAACCCAGGTCTCCCGCATTGCAGGTGGATTCTTTACCATCTGAACCATCAGGGAAGCCTATAGAACATTACATATATAGAATATATACATATATGTATATAATTTTTTATGTTGATATGTTGTATTTTCATTTTTGTTCAGACTAAGAAATTTTCTTTCCTTTTTTTTGGCCATACAGTGTGGCATGCATGATCTTAGTTCCCCAACCAGGGATTGAATCTGCACCCCTTGCAGTAAAAACAGGAAGTCTTAACCACTGGACAGCCAGGGAAATCCCGGGAACATTACCTTTATGGTCTTTTTTTTTTTTTTTTAACATATTTGTTCCAGTATTTAAAACTTTGCTTATAGTTCAAAAATTGTGGAAACAAATGGGTTTTTATTAAATTATTGAGAAAGTAGCCTCCCAATTTAAACAGATTGGAAAATGTTTCCTCATCCCCGGGAGAAGAGTATTTTCCCTTGGACAGTGATCGTATGGACTTCATTTCTCGGACATTTGCCCATCTTCTGGCCTCGGTGTTGAGGGTGTCTGCTGGTAACAACCTCCCCCGTAGGCTTTGAGCCCATGCTCGCAATGAAAGCCCCCTGGCCCTTTGCAGGAAGGGTCTTGCCACAGGCATTAAAAAGGCTTGGTACTGGGGATTTTCTGGTGGTCCAGTGGTTAGGACTCCGCGTTCTCACTGCCGAGGGCCAGGGTTCCTGCCCTGATCAGGAAACTAAGATTCCACGAGCCTCTAGCGTCAGCCCTGTTGTCTTTCTGGTGCTTTGAGAGAAAAATAGTAATGGTACCTATCTTGTACGGTTAAGGATGGATTGCTCACAGGAAAGGGACAATTAGCCCCAGACCTCCAGGAGCTGGCCTGCCACTCACAGCTCAGTTGTTCTGGTTTTGGGTGCAAACCATTCCCCAAACACCTGCGTGAAATAAGGTTACTCTAGGACCATGATGTGTGCTTAGTCGTGTCCAACTCTTTGCAACCCCATGAACTAACTGTAGCCCACCAGGCTCCTCGCCTATGGGATTTCCCAGGTAGAGTACTGGGGTGGGTAGTCATTTGATGGATCCAGACAAAAGCAAGACCTCTTCATCATGATGTCCAAACCCAGATAAGAACAGGATAGTCCAGACCACAAGTGTAGCTACATATTCCCTTCCTGGGGACTGACTCACTGCCCCATCTTCTTCTCACCTTTTAGAGAAGAATTACCAAGATGCCCAGTCACAGAATTACCCTCACATCCTGACAGCATCCAGTTTATAGCAAAATCCTACTTTCTTGAACCCTCTTCCAAATTACCTGGCACAGCCCAGATCTTACTAGCTCATTGAACACCCTCTTGCTTAGACACCTGGATCCCCAAGGTGGCCCTTCTTGCTTGTTGCAATGAGGCAATCAACTGAACATGTTTCTGAGCTTCAGCTGTGTTCCTAGTGGGCTTCATTAGGACAGCACGTGTCACATGATCACTCTCTGGCCCTTTATTCCACTTTCTTATTTGTAACCTCAATCACCACCTGATCTGTTTCATATTTATTTGTCTGTTCTCTCTTTGCTTCTCCTGGAAAGTCCTAGGACAGCAGAAACATTGTTTTATTCAGACTGTACCATGAAATCTAGACCAGTTCTGTCACATAGTGGATATTCAATAAATATCAGTTGGATGAGTGGATGAATATAGATCCCAGTGTGCTGCCTGGTAAATAGCAAGCCTTCCATCAGTGGCAGCTGGTGTCATTATTATGATGTTAAGAACAAGTCTGATATTACGGTGCACATCATGAGGAAGACTCCAAAGCCAGATTGCTGCATATGAAGCTGGAGAAGATGGAGACAATGGTCTCTGTAAACCATACTTTTTTTGGAGTGGGGATGGGCAGAGAGTTAGCCTGTTTCCTTTCATTTCATGGTTGTAGAGCCAGCCTGGAAACATCATCCCACTACATTCATCTGCCGAAGTTGCGCCCACAAGCAGAATGAAACTCGAAGTGAGTCAAGCTAATTATCTGGTGAAGTGAGACCTAGTTGACCCTTCAATCAAACAACTTTGTTTTTGCCTAAATTCATAGAATTGCAGAACACTGACTGCCTGAGTGATCTGAGTTACCATTGAGTAAATCTCCCTTTGAAAAATCTCATTTTTGCTTTTTTTTGGTGGGGGGGCCACACTGAGAGGCTTGCAGGATCTTAGTTGCCCGACCAGGAACCAAACCTGGGCCCAGAGCAGTGAAAGCGCCAAGTCCTAACCAGTGATCCACCAAGGAAGTCTTGAAGAATTCCATGTTTGCGTGAGTTGAGTGTCCTCACCCTCTTTAGTTTCTTTCTGTTTCTTTCTTTGGGGTCTGAGCCCCCGTATTCCCTATGTGTGAAATGTGTTACACTGTTTACAGTGGCCACTTTGGAATCATGATAGAGCAGTGTTCTTTACAGGTCCTCTGTTGTTTTCGCGGAGTTGTGTAAGCAGGAAGGCTTCAGATTAGAGGCCTGGGTGTGGGACACTTTGGGCCTGTGCTTAAAAAATCATTACAACAGTGACACATGTTCTTGAGGATGTGGAGTGAGATTGTTTACCCTGTCGGATCGTTTTCTTTAGGGGACAGTCCATCTGAGCTTGTGTTTTCTCTGCAAGGTCCCGGAACCAGGCTGTCAAGCTGGCTCGTATCTTGGGCAGGAGAGAGTCTCATTTGTGTTAAGGGACTGACGTGTCAACAGTTTTTTAAATGAAGAAAGTCAGCACTTGCAGATGGCACAAAGAGGTTTGCTTCAGGAAATAGAAAAACTGCAAGGAGTACATTTAGTGTGGACAAGCTAACTGCCTGAGAGAAGTCATTCAACAACTGTTGATGGATTTATATCTCAGTTCATATATGTTTTAGTGCCCTTGAAGGCAATGAAGTATGTGTGTGTGTGTGTGTGTGTGTGTGTATGTATCTTGAGAGAGAGAGAGAGAGAGAGATGAAAACTGCAGCATAGCTATGTTTTCAGTCTAGTACATGAGTTGTTAACTGGTGTTCATTGTAACTAATATTTAGACCCTATCTTCTGATTTTAAAGAAAGTCTGCTTTTTTTTGTTTTTATTTATAAATAAAAAGCTTTTTTTCGTGGTGGTGTGGCCCCTTGAGAAGCTGTACAAAGCCACAGATCTGAGCCAAATTTAGTGGCATAGGGGAAAATCTCTTCTGTCCTGTGTATAATCTGTCAGCTGGCATTTTTCTGAATGAACGGGCCTATCACATTTCTGAACTGTTTGTCCTTTTCTGGGTGAGTAAAGTTCAACATGAGCTTCCCAGGTGGCTCAGTGGTAAAGAACCTGCTTGCTAATGTGGGAGATGCAGGAGACATGGGTTCCATCCCTGAGTCAGGAAGGAGGAGGGCATGGCAACCAACTCCAGTATTTTTGCCTAGAGAATCCCATGGACAGAGGAGCCCGGTGAGCTACAGTCCATGGGGTTGCAAACAGTCAGACACGACTAAGCATACATGCACTCAAAGTTCAACATACTATGTCGGAGTTTAAATGCTGCTTAGCATGGGTGCATTGTGGTTTTTCAGAAAGAGATCTGGGGAGTGTTGGATTTAACAGTAAGCTCATTATCTGGGTTTAGAAAGGTGTCATTTCTAAATTTCCTGATATTATAATTACATTGCAAATTTGGCTGGTCTTTTGAGAGTTAATATTAGTAAATACCACCATGGTTACTGCTGTCCATCAATTAATGTTCTTCGGTCGTCTTTAATTTTGCATTCTGCTTTGTATTATCAAAGTAATTGTTTCTTCCTTTAACGGATGGCTACTGTCTGTATCAATACCTGTCTCTGCCAAACAGGAGAGTGATGATGTCAGAACTAACTTTTGATTACATGGCTGATTGTGGCTGCCTTTAGAGACTTCCAGAATGTGCCAAGAACTCTTAGTGGATCCAACAAGCTTATCATGTTTTCACCGCAGAAATATTTATATCTGGTAATTGGGCCCTAGGGTAAAATTTTAGGCCTGTGTTACTGAGCTTATCGTATTTCTAGTGATCATATTTCCTGATAAGATGCTAGTCTCCTTCTTCCCTTAGGGCTATTTAGACTCCTGGGAGCTTGCAAAAGAAGTTTTAATTATGAAAATTTCCAGCTTGCAGAAATATCAGTGTTAATTGCTTCTTCTGTCAGCATGTGTTCCCTTGGCGGGGCTGGAATACGCTGTGTGGTGTTGACTGGGCCCTGGGAGAAGCAAACAGGAGCTGGAGAAGTGATGATGTGTAGACAGCAGAGGGGTGTCATAGGCTGATCATGTGACAGGTCCCAGGGAAAATTTCATCCCCAGTGATTGTTTCAATCATTCTTTTTTTTTGCTGTTTTTTGCTGTTGACATGTAAATTGATTTTAGACATTGGCGTTTCCATGTGAATTGGTTTTTAAGGTCATTCCAGTCCTCATGGCCAGTTAGAAGTGGAAACTTGGAGGGAGAAGGCCAGAGGAAGCATGAAGGATCAAGAAAGAAGTTGGATAAATGAGCTTTTATCCCTTTTCTTAGGGAAGCCGCTTGCTGTTTGGTCTGTTCTGTGCTGCCGCCTGCTGTTCAGAGATGATCATTGCAAGATCACATTTAAATTGTGCCTTCACAGCCAAAAATTAATTAAAAAAACCCAAACTGTTGTGCCTTGAAGGAGAGGAAGTTGTTAATGGCTCAGAAAAAGAACGATTCCTCTTGAATCTGTGAGACAGTCTAGATGTGACTGGGCTGCTAATGTAAATAATATAGATTGCCTGGATTCAAAGAAGGGGACTTTGGTGTGGCTGGAAAAAGGGATGTTGGACCTAGATGGGTCAACAGTCGTTGAAGTAACAGGTAAAGTAATCTCTAGCACTCTCTCAATTAGAGGGCAATTGAAAACAAGCCCCAGAAGGAATGTGACCTAGAGAAGTGAGTTTAGATAGACCTGTAGGCAGAGAAATGGAGATGCGGGCTGAGGGCAAGGTCAGATGTGGGCACAGGGGCTGGGGGCGGGCCCGCAGGCAAGCATGGCCCAGGAAGGTACCACCTGTTAGGGGAGCCAGAGGTGGCCTGGGGGGAGGTCCTGGTACTTGCTTCCCATCTTTGGAAGTGGTGTGTCCTTCCCAGAGGGCGGATTTTAGAAAACGGGTGGGGATGAAATTCCGAATCAACATGGGGTGAACCTCCTTACATGTTAAGGTGATTATAATCGGTATGGTCTGCCACGTGAAGCTCTGGGATCTTTTCATCTTGAGATTTCAGTCAAGGTGAATGATAGTCTGGTGGGAGGGTGTTTTAGATGAGTTGCCCATTTGGGTGGAGAATTTGACGGTTTCAGAAGTTCCGCACAATGTAAATTGTCTGCGGCCACTATGGAGAATAGTATAAAGGTTCCTTCAAAATTAAGAATAGAGTTACCGTGTGATCCAGCAATCCCATTCATGTGCAAAGGATCTGAGAAAGGCGAAAACTCTAATTTGAAAAGATACATGGAGCCCAATGTTCATAGCAACACTGCTTACAATAGACAAGAGGCTGCCTAAATGTCCATAGACAGATGAATGGATAGAGAAGATGTGGTACATATATACAATGGAATATTACTCAGCCATAAAAAGGAATGAAATTGGCTCATTTGTAGAGATGTGGATGAACCTAGAGTCTGTTGTGCAGAATGAATTGAGTCAAAAGGGGGAAAATAAATATGGTATATTAACCCATATGTATGGATCTAGAAAAAATGGTACTAATGAACCTATTTGCAGGGCAGGAAGAGAGACTCAGACATAGAGAACGAACTTGTGGACACAGAAGAAGGGAGAAGAAAAGAGTGGGATGAATGAGAGAGTAGCGTGGACATAGATACACTACCATATGTAATATAGATCACTAGTAGAAAGTTGCTATATAGCACAGGAAGCTTGGCTGGGTGCTGTGTGATGACCTAGAGGGGTGGAATGGGGGAGATGAGAGGGACATTCAAGAAAGAAGGCAAAAAAGGAAAAAAAAAACCGAATCAAGGTGGGCAGCAAACACAAACAAACAAATAAAAAACAAATAAAACCCAAATTAAAAAATAAAAAAAATTTTTTAAAAAAAGCCACCAAAAAATAACAAAACAAAAGAAAGAAAGCAAAAAAAAAAAAAAAAAAAACAAAACAACTAAAAGGGGAAGTGGAAAAAAGAAGCAAAAGGAATTAAATAAAAAAAAAAAAAAAAACCAAAAAAAAAAAAAAAAACTAAGGGTAACAAAAGGGAAAAGGGAAAAGAAGGAAAAAATAAGAACTTGAAAATAACAAGGAAAAAACGCCGGGGAAAAAAAAACCAAACAAAGAGGGCCCAACGGAAAACAAAAAGAAACGGAATCAAAAGCCTGGAAAGAAACAAAATGGAAAAAAAAAAGAAAAAATATACATATATATATAAAACAAAAACACTGCGCTAAACAACAAAATAAAACAAAACAGTCAAAAAAAAATATCTGTGTGTGCGCACACACATCTCAGACTCTGTGACACACTAGACACTCTCCACAAGAGATTTTTTTAAGCAAAAAAAACGGAAGGGGGTGCCAATTCCCCCCCCAAGAGAACCGCCCAAACCAAAGAACCAAACCCCGGGGCCCGCCATGGCAAGCAAAATCCTCCGCCGAACCAAGCCGGGCAAGCAAACAAACAAAACTCAAATAAAAAAAAAAAAAGTTTCACAAATTCTAGGAGGAAGAGTTATTCCAGAAAGATGTCACTCATATGAATTTAAAGATTAAGATAAGAACTGTTCCAAAGCCAAGATGGTGAAGTGCCTGTTGGAAAACAAAAAGCCAAAAACAAAATTCACACTTGTCAGTGTGTGAGCTTAAATGTAGTTAAGCTGGTCTTGTAGGTGAAGTAAACAAGACGTCTCAAGTCACACTGACAGCTCTGAGAAATGTTACATAACTCATGACAGCAGAGGCTGGAGACAGAAGAATTAAAACACAATGCATCTCACTTTCTGGAAGGAACAAACAGCCCTGCAAATCTTAACCACCCCTCAGCTTCTGCTGTGGGTCTCATCATTTTGAGGCTTGAAGAGAAAAGGAATGGAGATAAGGAGCAACATATTATTTTAGAAAAGCCATAAAATATTTTCTTTAAGAAAACAGATTTGGTATTTGAGAAATATGTCTATCAGCACATGGACATTTAACATAATGCATTTTCAGAATAAATCTCATGAAAATTTTCAAAATGAAAGACTGGGTCTCCTTCATGTTTCATCTGCTCCCTCTGTTATGCAGCCAGGTTTTAGAATCAGGGGTTTCTATGAGGAAGGAGAGGGTGTCTTTGTTTTATTGCAAAGGTGTGCATGGTTTATTTTGATGTGTTCAGTCAGCCACACGCTTTTACTGCTGTTCATTTGGTTGGGAATATTTACACATGTTTGCAAGGCACAGATTTTTTTCATTAGTCACCCAGCAAATGGGATTCATGAAGATGGCCCATCTGGAAACTTAAGTCAGCACATGGTTTTTTGTCCCTCCCTTCCAAACTAGATTTTCTAGTATAAATTATTCCCATAATTATGTCACCGGTGCCCTTTAGGGCTGTGTCTGTCTCCACACACAGACTAAAGCAGAAGAGCGTTTTAGTTCTACATCTATGATTTCCATTAGGTCAGGTTAATTATGGAGACATTGATTAGCCTGCCCAATGGTGACTTGGGCTCAGTGATTAAGACACATTCTGCTTACAGAGATGTAAGCTCTCTGGCAGGAACCAAAGCATGTTTGGAGCACTTACCCTTGTCTGGGGAGATTTGGGGGAGGGGGTGGCTGCCTGCCCTGCATTTTTGGGTGTCACTGTGCCTGACTGTGGGACTGATGGGGCTCAGGGAGAATCAGAGCCCTGCCTGATGCCCTGCGGACCCCCAGGTGCTGCCTCCTGCAACAGAAGTAACCCTTTGCTGGCAGATTTGGGGTCATACACCAGTTATGAGCACAGACTGTAAAGCCCAAGTGTTCAGGGTTCAAACTGCAGCTCACCATCTACTGTGTCCCTGTGCCTCCACTTCCTCATCTGTAAAATGGGGATGTGAGAGGCCTCACAAGACTGCAACGAGGAGCACATGAATTAATATTTTGTGATATGTTATAAGCAATGCCTGGCCCCGAAGAAGCATGACAGAGGTGTTTGTTAGGTAAACAAATAATTTTAGCCTCCACTGCTTATTTGTCTACTGCTCCTTTCCAGTTCCTACTTCTTTTCCTTTTTTTTTTTTTTTCCTCTGCTCAGATTTTGCATTACCCACAGCATTTTTTTCTAGCTCTCATTAAAGCTAGTCTGTGTCCAAAACATGGGGTTCCCAGGTGGCTCACTTGGTAAAGAATCTACCTGCGATTTTCGGGTTCGATCCCTTGGTTGGGAAGATCCCCTGCAGGAGGGCATGGCAACCCTCTCCAGTATTCTTACATGGAGAATCCCATGGACAGAGGAGCCTGGCCAGCTACAGTCCATGGGGTCGCAGAGTTGGACATGACTGAAGCAACTTAGCACGCATGCACACACTTGCTCACTGATCCTTGTTCTAACTCAGTGCTGTCCAATGGAGCTTTCTGTCATGATGGAAATATGGTAGATTTTCATGGTCCAATGTGGTAGCACTTAGCCGCAGACGGCGTTTGAACACTTGAAACGTGGCTAGTGCATCTGAGAAACTGAAGTTTTAATTTAATTTTGATTTAAATTAATTCAATTTAAAATAAATAGCCATCTGTGACAATATGGTACTGCCACGTTGGACCGCAGAGAAAATCTTAACTCATTGGTTCTTTTTTTTTTTCATATATTTTTATTAGTTGGAGGCTAATTACTTTACATCATTGGTAAGCAAGTGTCACTGAGGTCAAGTTGAATTTGTCAGTGTCAGGTTAATCTGTAAGTGCCTGTGTTTTATTATTTGCTTGTCCTGTGTTTTTATGTTCGTTTTCTATTCCTTCTTTGTTCTCATCACAATTTTGGTGGTTTGGGGATTTTGGTTTCTTACAGGTTCAGCGAAATGAGGACAAATCTACCACCTTGAAACTGGCTGATTTTGGTCTTGCAAAGCATGTGGTGAGGCCTATATTTACTGTGTGTGGGACTCCAACTTATGTAGCTCCTGAAATCCTCTCTGAGAAAGGTAAAGGTTACACATGGCTCTGTGGGACTCTAGCTTGCTTACTAACCAATGTTTACTTTTTAATATTTAAATTTCACATTTTTCAACATGAAGCAGTTAAAAATCTCAGAGATTGGCTCTGCATTTGTACTTGGATATTAAATATTTGAAGTAGGTCTCCTTGACCAAAGCATGAGAACTTTTTCCTCATCAGGGCTGCTCTTATTACAGAGAAGAGTGTGTGAGTGTGTGTGTGTGTGTGTGTGTGTGTGTTGGCAGGACAGTGAGATGAAAGATTGTGGAGAATTGAATGAGAAACTCAAGCAAGCAAGGTCATTTAGCCACTCACCCAAAGCTACCTCTAAGGGAGAGATATAGAGCAGTTCTTATGGTAATTGGCTTTAAAAACTCCTTTTTTAACCTTGCAATTAAAGGAAAAGGAGGTCCCAGTTCAAACCCCATGAATAATATATGTATATTGCATATTGTATAAAGGTCCAATGGACTATTTTAGTGACAGACTCTGTAAAGGATATACAAGGAAATCATCTTCATCATTATTATATGGCTCCAAGTATATGAATAACTATTTAGCCATCCTTGCACTCCAGGAGAAATCAGTTAAACCACCTCTGATGGCTAAAGATGGGAAAGCTCTAGATGGGTTATAAGCTTGGGGGTAGGGAGAAGGGAGAGTTTTATCCCAGCAGCAAATGCATGAGGGAAGCCAAGATACAGAGATTAGTCTATGCATGGAAGTTGGGTGGTAGAGACTTTAAAAAACCAGCCTCAGTAGAGCAGAGGGAAGTGCAATTGGATGGGGAGGGTTAGCCAGGATTCCCCCCAAAATGAGTCTGAACTCAGTGTGGCCAGCAGAGTTGCCGTGGTAATGTGGTGACAGTGTGACAGGAGAGTACTGAGTGACTATGGACATTTTAATGGAGGCATTACCGAGCTGGATCAGAGAGGCATGAAAGCAAGTAAGATACCCGGGCCATCCGCATCTTCTGCTTTCCTTTATTTCCTGCTAGCTTGGTGTAGATCTCCATAGCATCCCAAACACAGGACTTGCTTTGAGATGTAAGTCTCACCACCAGTCGGAGTCACCAAATACTTTTCTTGAAGCCAGCTGAAGAACCTCAGAACTGGAAAAATATCAGAAACGTGGAATCCTCATTTGAAAAGATCAAAGCCATCTCATATACAGAAGTGTCTATGAATCAGATAGACTAGAGATGCTTATTTTACCTGTGAATAGTCAGGTCTCTAGGGGCGTCCTTGGGGCACAGGGGCTCTGGAAGGTCAGAGGGTGAAGGTCAGAGGTACCTTTAGTGGAGCAGAGGCTTATGTGGTCCTCCTCGCTTTTGGCCCTTACAGGTGAAATCTTTCCCTTGATTTACACATTTAAAATATGTGTAGGTATGGTACATGGCCTCCATGTGTCCTCTTGGGCTGGACTGCGCCATGGGTGGTAGTGGTGGGCCTGACCTCACGATTCTATGTCTAACATGGTAGCCCAGTAGCTGCATGGGGCTATTTGAATTTAAATGTCAGTGAATTAAAAGGAAATGCAAGAAGAATTCAGTTCATCAGTTGCACCAGCTGAATTTCAAATGCTCAGTAGCCCCAAGCCAGTAGCACGGATGTGGAAAGTTTCCATCGTGACAGACGGTTCTGAGGGCCAGTGGTCCTCTGGTCCAGCACTGGTCGCTAACACAGATGTTTGTGTCCTTATTTCCTGTATGGAAAAGGAAAATTCCTCCGAACCATCTGCATCCATCCCATTTTTCCATCTTTCTATCATTCCAACAGCTGCCAAAGATCTGGTGAGCCGGTTGCTGGTGGTAGACCCCAAAAAGCGCTACACGGCCCACCAGGTCCTTCAGCATCCCTGGCTTGAAGCTGCCGGAAAGACCAGCAGGGCAAACCTACAGAAGGAGGTGCCCCCCAGCAGCGAGGACCACTTCCGGAGCTAGCACACGTGGGCTACAGAGCAGACGTCACAGTCACAACCTCAGCATCCACCCAGTCCTCCGTGGTCCTGCTTGGGGACAGAGAAGAAGATAGACATCGAGGAGAAAAACAATGAAAAAAGCCTTCTTCACATAATTGGAGAATCAAGCGAAGGAGTGAAGACCCTCAGTATATTTTAAAGCATATTTAAAAAGATAAATTTGAGTCTTAATGTTAAATGTTGTAACATATGTTTAGGTTTTTAGATTAGAAGTCTTTAATACATTGTGGGAGGTGGGGTGGGGAGACTTATTCTCAGTGAGGAATTTTTTGGTAATAATGATTTGTGTTTTGCTTCTTCCTTATAATCAAGTTCGTGGTATATATTACACGAGTGGTGCTTACCAGGGTTTAAACTCCCCCCGTGAAATTAATCATCTGAATCGTAGTCCTTCCTCATTAATAAAATGTGCTCTGGATAACTGAAGCGAACTGTATTCTGACTGCTTCTTAATGCTGGTGATGAAAACCAGCGAATTATAGTTCAGACATGTCTCCTGAAACCCCTGTGTCTATACGTAAATGTGCTGATGAATCCTTGATGAACTGACCAGAGCTGTTTGTTGAGGATATGCTGGTCTGGGTCTCTTGCATTTTAGTTCTATTGAAAACCAGATTTGGTGCAGCCTGAAATGGAAAGAAGAAATCATCGATTCATTCCTATCCCTTTAGGGCCCATTTAGACCATGTTTCATTTACTGAGTCCCGGGCCTCAATCCTTTCTATGTGAAGTTAGGCTTCTGCTCAGGTTGCGATTGTGTTAATCTTTTCAGATCAGGAGGGAGCCATTTAGTGCACTAGTAGGTCAGAAATGCAGTTACTGGGTTACATTGGGGCTAGAAGGGGCTCCGAGGGTTCAGACGTGTTCCTCCCTGCGGGGCATCCACTCAGAGGGCGCTTGACATGGGGTCACTGGTTATTTCACTCCAGATTTCTGTACCAGTAGATGACTCTGGGAGTACCAATGAGCTGAAAGTAAAACATCATCCTGATGTTTCCCAACCTGACCTTTCAGGGTCATATGCAACCTGGTTGAAAGGACACAAAATCAGTCCAAAAGTGTGGGTTTCTCATCCCGCCTGTTCCTTTCTGACAGCGTAGGTGTCATTTCGGTGGAAGAAGAGCATCCATCAGCAAACAGGAGAGGCTCTAGTATGAGGAGTTGCTGGGACAGGTGTAGGAGAATGCAGAAAGCAGACAGGAGGTAATCGAGAGACGTTAACACCTAGATGAGAAGCCAAGGGAAGAGGTTGGAGTGATTGAATGTAGAGGCTTGGAGGAGGAACCCTTGCAGTGGATTCTGATTGTGACACCCAGGTCCCTGCTCAAGACTGAAGGGAATAAGCTGTGGTGTGGTGCTGGCTGACAGCCCTCAGCTATGAATGGGAATTGCCTTTAGCTGGGAGGAGTCCTCTCACCCGGGATCACACCCCTTTCCCAGGAATGGGCTGCATCCAATGATGTCTCCATTTAGGGCTCGACCAGACAGCACTGAAGGCCCTGCACTTTCACAGCTCCCCATGGGGGTGGCTGAGCCTTGGTGGAGGCTGCATCACAGCCCAATTCTCCCTCATCTGGTCCTGATGCTTTTCCTTCTCTTCCAGAGGTTGATGGTCCTGAGATCACTCCCTGATGAAGCTTCTGCACTCTAATTTCCATCTCAGGGTTGGCTTCCCAGGGAACAGAGCCTGGGACATGCCCTAGGAACTTAGAATGACTGCAAATAGGTACCAGCTGGTGCTTTGACTTCAGGAGCTCTGTGGAGGGGCCCCCCTGGAGCTTGGACCCAGACACCTAAGGAGGGGGCACTGCCAAGCAGGCAGTACAGTGGGACTCACTCTAGAAATGTGGAAAGAGACTGGAAGCTGGAACCAATTGCTACTGGAAGATCTTTTGGTAAAGCCACCCAGAGGCACTAAATCCAAAGGAGAATGTTCAGACCTCATACAACATCATTTGATCCTATTGACCACTCTCTGTATGAGTCACTTCTCCACTTGGCTTCCATAAGTGATGCATTTTCCTGGTTTTATTCCTACATCTCTATTTACTCCTCTGAGTCTCCTGAGCAGGTTCAGTTTTCGACGTGTTGAAAGTTGTAGCTCCATTATTAAGTCACTGAGTCAGTCAGTTCAGTCGCTCAGTCGTGTCCAACTCTTTGCGACCCCATGGACTGCAGCACGCCAGGCCTCCCTGTCCATCACCAACTCCCGGAGTTTACTCAAACTCACGTCCATTGAGTCGGTGATGCCATCCAACCATCTCATCCTCTGTCGTCCCCTTTTCCTCCGTCTTCAATCTTTCCCAGCATCAGGGTCTTTTCAAATGAGTCAGTTCTTTGCATGAGCTGCCAAAGTAATGGAGTTTCAGCTTCAGCATCAGTCCTTCCAGTGAATATTCAGGACTGATTTCCTTTAGGGTTGACTGGTTGAATTTCCTTGCAGTCCAAGGGACTCTCAAGAGTCTTCTCCAACACCACAGTTCAGAAGCATCAATTCTTTGGTGTTCAGCTTTCTTGATAGTCCAACTCTCACATCCATACATGACTACTAGAAAAACCATAGCTTTGACTAGATGGACCTTTGTTGGCAAAGTAATGTCTCTGCTTTTCAATATGCTGTCTAGGTTGGTCATAACTTTTCCTCCAAGGAGCAAGTGTCTTTTAATTTCATGGCTGCAGTCACCATCCACAGTGATTTTGAAGCTCAAAAAAATAAAGTCTGTCACTGTTTCCACTGTTTCCTCATCTATTTGCCCTGAAGTGATGGAACCAGATGCCATGATCTTAGTTTGCTGAATGTTGAGTTTTAAGCCAACTTTTTCACTCTCCTCTTTCACTTTCATCAAGAGGCTCTTTTGTTCTTTGCTTTCCACCATAAGAGTGGTGTCATCTGCATATCTGAGGTTATTGATATTTCTCCCAGCAATCTTGATTCCATCTTGTGCTTCATCCAGCCCAGTGTTTCTCATGATGTGCTCTGCATATAAGTTAAATAAGCAGGGTGACAATATACAGCCTTGATGTACTCCTTTCCCAATTTGGAACCA